AGCAGGGGGCAGATAGATGAGGTGAGTCACACCATGCGTGTCACCTGTGATGTGGCACATGGCAGGACCATACCCAGGGAGATGACAGCACTCAGCCCGGCTTTGATGGTGCACCACTGCTGGCACATGTGAAGGAGCTTAGTGGCATGATCACTTTACCTCCCTGGCTCTCAGTCTCTTTAGTTTCGCAGATGGGGGCATAGAACCAGGAGACATCTGGTCAGTTATCCTTTTAGGTCTCAGTCTGAGGGCTTTTAAATGAAAACCAAGAAAAGCTGAAATAGTGTCTCTATACTGCGAGGTCTTATTTGGATGTTTGGAGGCCACGACTTCACAGCAGCCTTGGGCGGGCCTGGGTCACTGACCCTGGTTGGGTAGGACACCTGGCAGCATCCAGTCCTCTGCATTCAGGGCTGCCTACTCTCACAGGTCAGTCCTTCAGGACCGCTAAGTCCTTGGGGCAACCTGGGAGCCTCTGGCTGGGCTGGGAGGGCTGTTTTCCAGGACTGTTCCCACAAGGTGACACCCAGCCTCCTGACTGATTTCTCTCTTTCTCTCCACTTTTCCTCCCTGCAGCCTTTGCTAGGGAAAGCCTGTCTGTAAGTATTTCTGAATAATTCTGCTGCTTGCACTCTTCCTGTCTTGTTTGCCTGATTGGATTCCTGTCTCTTTAAATATTGACAATAAGGACAGTTTTAATGAAGTGTGAGGTCTTCTACAGGGAGGAAGAGATGAACATGCAGGGAGGGAGAGGGAATTCTTGGACATTTTAGAGGGGGATGAAAGTGGCAGTGTGGCCCAGCTGCTTTTTAGCATGTTTGATTGCTTCTCTGAAGTCCTTCTCGGGGTTGCAGTCATGGCCTACGGGTCCCTCTTAAGGTCAGATTTTGGTGCCAACTGGGCTTTGGCTTACTGTCATTGCCTTTTAAGCATCTTCCCTACCCAGATAACCATTCTTTACTCTGAAAGGGAGATTTACCCAGAGCATGTAGGAGGGACATATCACCGGGGGAATGTAGCCCGTAGGAGCCCCGCCCATTCCTGAGAGGTCTGTGGAAACCTGCTTGGAGAACTGGTTGTCTTGTAGCAGAACATTCAGCCATAAGTCACAGGCAGGAATGGGTACAGCTTTCCATCGGACCCATGGGGTTGCCCCTCTCCTTTGACTGGAGCTTTCTGGTCTGGTTCAGCATCAGCTCTGGTGGTGACAGTAAATAATGCTGTGTCTCTGCTGCTCTGATCCCCAGCTGCAGGAGCCAAGGCCTTCTCATTACAGCCACCATAAATGCCACCCCACCCTTCCAGTCATACCTCCCATTATTCCCTTTGCACTTATTAAGTTACCTTGAGTTTACCCAGAAATTGGGAAGGGTTGAGATCAGCCAGGATGAACTGAAAAATGAAGGTTATGCTTGGAAAACATGTAGCTTGGCATTGTGCCTGGACTGTGCCTGGACTGGCAGAACTAGACAGAGTCAGATGAGCCTCTAGGGCTGAGAGGGTCCATGCCTCTTGACTCTGATCCAGGATGTGGGTGGGGCAGTTCCGCCCCTGTTTAATAGGTTAGGCCTGAGCCATCCAGCCAGTGGGAACAGAATCAGAATTTAGACTTTGGCCTCCTGCTTCCAGTGCTTCCTGCCAGATCTTGGGAGCATTCCTGCCTCTGTGCCTGGACCCCTGGTCCTTGCAGCCCAGGGGGCACTGCCAGCTGCTGCAGGTCTTCTCTTCAGCCCTGCAGCCTCTCACTTCTGTGGCTAACAGTGGGCCCACCCATTAATTTCTCAACAAGACCTTTGTGATCTAGTGTCTGTGGTCCCCTTTGAGCACACGGGCTACTTGTGGATCGGGGTTCTCCTGTGTGAAGAGCGGCTTTTGAGTTTGATGTTTATGGTCCTGTATGTGTGTGTATCTTATGCTTTTTTTTTTCCAGCACTGGGACTTGAACCATAGACCTTGCACTAAGCAACATTCCCAACCCTTTTCAATTATTATTTTTTTCTTCATTTTGAGACATGGTCTCACAAAATTGCTAAATTGTCCAAACTGGGCTCAAACTTACAATCTTCCTGCCTTAACCTCCCAGAGTGCTGGGATTATAGAGGTGTGTTACAACACCTGGTTTATCCTGTACCTTTTAAGCACTCTTCCTGCTGTGGGGGTACCATTTAGATTTGTCCCCCTACTCTACAGAAGCAGGCTAGTCTTATCTCTAAGTGACTCTAAGAGTGCTTTTGAGTAGAATCTCTCAAGATGAACATACTTACATCTTATAGGCCTATCGCACTTGTTTCAGGTCACAGTTCCACATTGTTGCCCCAGAGTCCAGTCCAGCCTATGAATATGACCCCACAACGTGGACTGTAGGTACATCTGATTGTAGACCTTGACCTGGACCCTTCGACCAAAATATATTGTTAAAGTCAGACCATGATGGGTTTGCATCTTGGTTCTACTAATGGCCAATCTTTGGAACTTTGGGCAATTTAAGACAATTCTAGGGGCTGGGGAGATGGGCTTAGTAGAATAAGCACTTGCCTGGCAAGTACAAGGGCCTGAGTTCAATCCCTGCTTCCACAAAAAAAAAAAAAAACAAAAACAAAAACAAAAAAAACTTAGGACCTAAAGTTCTTTACCTGTAAAATGGAAAATAAAAACTTAAGGGGTTTAATGTTGAACAGATATGACAATTAAGCCAGGCATGGTGGCACACACCTATAATCCCAGCACTTTGGGAGGTTGAGGCAGGAGGATTGCCATTTGTTTAAGGTCAGCCAGGACTCCATAGTGTAGTTTAAGACCAGCCTGGACTATATATTGAGACCCTGTCTCAAAAGCCAAAACAAAGACATGGAGCAATATATCTGGTGGCAACTAATAAGATGGGACAGTGGCCACTGCTATTGTCATCAGGGAGGGACTCGGTGCCTGGGCTTCAGTGGATGTGCTCTCTGGTTCACCTAGGCTTGAGTCTGCATTTTGGTGTCCTGCCCTGTGCAGTGGGATTTCTTCCCATGAGCCTCTGGAGCTCAGATCTCGGAGGAGACAAACCCTCAGGTGTGTTGCTGGTGACCCTGGTTTCTGGGAGAAACAGGATCACAGCCTGGACCCTGGTTCTACAGTGCCTTCTCTTCCAACCTGTTTTTTTTTTTTTTTTCTCTCTCCCCCATGATGCTTGAAAGACGAACTGTCTGTCACATTTTCTCAAAGTTTTCTCCTTACTAACCTTGGAAAGGTAAATGACTGGCTGCATGTCCCTCTGTCCTCTCCTGCATCTCCACGTCATGGCATCTCAGCTTAGGGCATCTTGCTCTTTGTGCAGAGTGGCCGTTGTGGAACATGTGGCCCTGTGTCTGTACCAGACAGTCTTACAAGCAGTGCCCTTGTCGTGAGGTCCTTTCCCATCTGTCTTTTCTCCTTCTCAGAGCCCCGAGCCTGGGGGCCCATGAGTGAAGGACATGAGTGCTTGGTGTTACTGTTGCATTGTCATTGTGTGGATCCCAGAAGCCTGTGGTGTCCCAGGGCAGGTTGGAGCTACATACAGTTTCATGGGGGCTCTCTCTAGCTGAGAGGGGACCCGCCTTCCCACAGGGCGCTCCGGCTGCCTGTAGTCCTGTTCTACCCAGAATGTGAGTGGTGACCCCAGTGCCATCCAGTCCTATGAGTCTCTAGTCAGGGGACTGGCTTGTGTGGGGCGAGGAGAGTGGGTAGGTCTGATCCTTGCACACCTGCCTGCCTGGGCCCTGCGCTCTCTTCTTGCCACATGTAGAACAGCATTAGTGGAGATAGTTAGGAATGCAGAGGATGCTTTTTTAAGAATTGTGCTTTGTTAGTGGGCTAGATGAGGGAGTTAAGGGGTAGACCCCTGCTGTGCAGTAGCAGCAAATGTATGTCCCCAGCTGCTTTAAGCACATTTTTAACAGAAGGTGTTGACACGAATCAGAATCTGGCAGGGAGAGGCTTCCTGCTAAGTCACTTAGGTCAGGACTGGGATTTAGAGTATAGTCTCCTGTCCTCCTGTGCTGGCTTCCCAAGTGGGCCTCCTCTCTGTATCCAGCCATCCCACTCATCACCCTTGTTCAGGGCAGCTACGTGGCAGAGTGTATGGGTACCAGGAGCTGAGCATGAGGCTCTGTTGGCAGAATTGAGGAGGCTGTGTTGCTTTGAGGGTTTTTGGCTGTCTTCCACCTGGCTGCCAGTGGGGGCCCCTGTGTGGTACAGAGAACAGCCCTGCACTTGTGGAGGGGTGTGGGCACAGAGTTCTACCTCAGTGGTTCCACCTCAGTGGTTCCACCTCAGTGGCTCTGTGGGGTCCTGTTCTCTCTCAGCTCTGTCTGACCTATTGGAACTACAGGGTTCCCAGCCATATGCCTGCCCACATTCCTTCCTTACCTCTTTCTGGCAGGAAAAGGGCCTGGCAATAAGCAGGCTCCTGGCCCACATCTGGTCCCTTCTCATGTTCTGAGACCTACCTGAGCTCTTCCACCTGTTTTGTGATGACATTCTCTGGGGTTTGTTCTTTGTTTGGGGTGGAGGGAAGTGAAGGAGGCTCAGTGGTATGGCTTTGAGCCTTTTGCTTGGGAAGACAGTTGGCAGCAGATCCTGATTTCCTCCTTTGTCCCTCTGTCTCCTGAACACAGAACATGAAAGGCTCCCGGAGCGGCACCGACTCCTCCAGGAAACACTGAATGAAGCAGACACATCTCTTTCCATTCCACTTCCATTTCTGCAGCTTAGTTTGTGCCCTCCCATCTGCCCAAGGCCAAAGGAACAAGTGGTCCCAAGGACTTCTGCACCGAATGAGTAGAGAAAGGGGATCTGCTGGTTGAAGAGCAGCTACACCCCAGTAGCATCAGAGTGACTGAGACACCAGAAGGCCATGTGGCTGACTGGATCCCTGGCAGTGAGCTGCCAGCCTCTCCACCTTCTACTCTCCAGGGTCCTCCAGGGCTGTTTGGCCCCCTCAGAATCCCCACCAGGCTGGGGGAGGATGAAGAGTGGTGGATGAGCTGAGCAAGGCCCTGAGAGGGGGACACTGGTTACTGCTGTGCTGCTTTCTGTAATTCTGCCCTGGCATGATCCTGGCTGGGGAGACAAGACTGGCAAAGAATCTTGAAACTAGAAGAGGACTTAGATCCTAACTGCTGAAAGCGAAGGCCTGTTTGAAAATTTCCGCATGGCTCCGTTGTGCACCTTTGTTGGGGAGATACTCCCTTGGACTTGGGCATGGGCTGAGTTGGACCTCTTCTCCTGAGAAGGCCTTGAGCTGGGACTTACCTGGAAGCTGAGCAGTGACCTGTCCTGGCTCCCCTGCATGTCATCAAACCATCCCAGCCCTGAACGTAAGGACAGGCTGGCTGCATAGGCAGAAGGATGTTTTCACTGAAATATGATAACTGGGGCCTCACTCTGTCAGGAAGCTCTGAGCATCCTTTGTTCTCCTATCTGGTCTTGGAGGCACCCTGAGTGAATTGCTCTCAGAGCTGTTTGCTTTTGCACTTTTTTGGGGACAGAAGTAGGATCTAAAAGTTGCACCTTCTTTTCAGGAACTTGCAGTAGAAGTTGGAGGTTTAGGCCCTTGGGGGCCCAGAGCCTCTGCATGCAAGGAGCTGGACACACCTGTGGGATGGGGGAGCTTGGAGCATTGCCTCCTCGCAAGATCTTCTGAGAGATGAGGTAGGGAACACCTTGCCTCTTTCCTCTAGGACATTACCTACCACCCATGCTTCCCAGGTGGGGATGGCAGCTAAGGATGAGGTGCAGATGTGTCTGCCTGCTTTTGTCGAGTGCTATGTACCTGGCACCGTGCTGCACACCTGACTGTGGGGAGGTCAGTGGAGTAGGCTGTCCTGTTTGCTTTGTCTTCATAGCATCCATGACATTTTGCAGAGTTTGAAAATCTGAGCTTATGGGACATGTGGTTCTAAACTCCTGTAGTATTTGTCCCTGTCTGTTTTTCCTCCCTCATCCCCTCAAACAGCAGGGCAGAAGAAGGTGTCTGTGTCCAGAGGAAACCATTTGCAAACTCAGCAGTATAGTTCATACAAATAACCCTTTTAAGATGTCTCAAAGCTCGTACCAAAGGTCATGCTTATTTCTTCCTGCCTTTTCTTTTGTGTGTGTGTATGGGGGGGGGGGTACTGGGAGTCAAACTCAGGACCTTGCCCTTACCAGGCAAGTGTGATGCCACTGGAGCTATCTCCCTGGCCTTCCTGCCATCTTGTCAGCTCAGAGACTGCTCTTCCCAGCTCGAGGGGGCAGGTCCTAGAATAAGAGTGGGAGATGAACACACCTGAAGCTTAGAATGAAGAACTCCTCTTTGCTTGAGAGGGAGCTATTTAACACATTGAGATTAAATGGGAAATTGGGATATGCATCAATCAGCCACTGTTCCATCAAGTTTGTGTTCTTCACACTGAACCATTCGAATTCTCCCTTCTCACCCATCCTTTTTGATTGGCAGGCTACCAGAGGGAGAGAAGGGCTATGTGTACATTCTTGGGCAGCCTAAGACTTGGGCTGTTTTCCCTCTGTTACTATCTTGGGTCTTGGTGGGTGGTGTGCAGGTTGCTGGTATTTTTCTACCTGAGGATCCTGCACCTTTGCTTCTGAGACTTGTTTCTTACTTGTCACTTTCTGGCCTCACCCTCTCTGTATTAATACAGACTCATAGCTGAGGCAGAAAAGGGCTGGGGTGGGTGTGGCTTCTTACCTCTATTGACCCAGAGTCAGGACTGACATGAAGAAGGCTTGGCCTAGGGTGAGACTTCATTTTGATAAAGTTGAATGGGGGAGGCCTCAAAGAAGGCAGCTTTCTGCTTCATTTGAAAGCCAGTGAGCCATTCTTGAGGAGGCCTGGGGGCCTGGGCTGAGCTGTCATCCTGGAACTTCTGCTTCTACTGGTTTTCTTCCCTCCTCTTCAAAATAAAAATAAAGCAAAACTGGGACCAATTCTTTTTTCTTTTTTTAAAAAAAACTGCATATTTGTTGAGTGAATTTCCCTCTCCTTCCACCATAGACAAGGTTTGCTCTTCATTTTCGAGGGCAAAGAAAAACTGTTTGAACCACACCAATGATATTTTCATTTGTAATACTTGAAATTTATTTTTTTATTATTTTGATAGCAGATGTGCTATTTATTTATTTAATATGTATAAGGGAGCCTAAAAATAGAAAGCTGTACAGATTGAGTTTAATTGTCAGTGGGTTTGGGGGCCTCTGATGTGTGACTTCCGACTTCTGTGTTCTGTATATTTGTCTGAATTAATGACCTGGATTGAAGCTGGGCTGGCTTTCAAACAGGGAATGCCTTGGAGACATTTGTATATTTTGCAATTGCCAGACCAATAAAATACCTGGTTGAATTACACCAATGAAATACATCTCTGATCCTTTTTTGGGGGGGTCCATGGACAAGGAGCATTTTATTGACCTGACCTAGTTTTTCATTATCTCCCCTCTGATAAGATGTTCAAGTAGAGATTGTCCTGTGTTTGTTTTAGGAAGAATAAGGTATCATTTTACTAACGACTGCCTCACAAATTGATTGATTGCATTTTTTTTTTTTTTAGAGTCGCTTTAGGAAAAAAGAACAGGAGGCACAGAGATTTACTGTAATCCCCTCTGGCCCTGAAAGTCCCCTATCATTAACATCTTGCCTTAGTGTAGTTCCTGGATTACAGCTGATGAATGATGCTAGTGTATTGTTAGGAATGTTCTATGTTGTTGGTTTACAAGTAAGGTTCATGCTTTGTGTTATATAGTTCTCTGGGTTTTGAGAAATACATAATGCCATGTCTGCTGTTGTGATGTCATAAAGAATGATACCAGTTTTCCTTTGTCCCATCACCACCACCACCCCACCCTGACCTTCCAAACAGCAGCAACAGTTTAACTAGCATTGCATGACAGAATAGGTACAGGCAGCATTACAAGAAGACATTTTAAGTCTACTTTCACTTTCTCCCTTTTCCTATATACTCTTCAATCCCTTTCTACACATGTAAAATAAACTTTGGTTGAACATCTATGATTTCCTAGCTGACTGGCTGCCAAAAGTTGAGAGCCAAAGCTCTCCCTCTTGAGTCCTGGATGAGAACATGTGTGTCTCGGGTAATTTTCTCTCACAGCTGAGAAAAATACGTGACGTCAAGTAGAAGAGGGACAGGTTTATTTAGCTCCCCATTTGTGGAGGTTGCAGTCCATACTTGCCTGGTTCCTAGGCAGAGTGACAGGGCAGAGGACAACAGTTCATGGCAGTGGAAAACCACAAAAAGCAACAAGAGCAAAAGGGGAGGAGCAGGAAGAGCAACCTTTTTCTCTTATATTGCGTTCAGGCTTCCTGCCCCAGGGCAGGTGTAGCACTCACCCCTGCTCCCTGCATTGGATCATGAATTAATCACAAGCTCTAGAAGCCCACACCCAAGACTGCCTAAGACTTTGTGGGGGACATTAGAAACAAACTATAGCAATGTGTCCAATCTGTGTACTCGCTGCTACATCCCAGTAATAGTCTCAATTCTAAACTAGTCTTTCTCCATCACCTGCACTTCCTTGCTCCTAGCTAAGAAGAGAATTAGGCATCAGCCATCTAGCATTCTAGGTAGAGATGAACCCCCAGGGTTATGATTTGGAAACTACATGATGGGTAGCACATTTTGATAGACTCGAGGCCCTGCTCCCTGAGTTCTGGGCCAGTTCTGACTTCTTAGGGGTTGCGTGCAGCAGTTGGGGCCCTGGCTCGACAGGTAAAACCTTTGCTCTCAAATCTGACCCAGTCTTTCAGCTTGGTCCCAAGAAAATGAGAGGCTTCTCTGAAAGATGATGGATACGTATTTTCTTGCTGGGTTCAATCTGCAATGGATCCACGACCTTCTGGATCAAGCTCTGATTCGTCAGGGTGGTCTCTGGTCAGGTCTGGAGCACAGACCGAATATTAAAGGAATGAGTAACCAGATGGATAGTTTTTGATTTGTTTTTCAACGTAATTTTGGGGATTAAATTTTTTGCAAATGTTTTCTTAGCATGTTGCTTTCCTTTTGGTTACAATGGTTTCTGATGACCTACAGCTCCAAACATTCATTGTGGAATCCTAGTAATTCCTTTGTTGTTTGTTTTGCTTTTTTAAGCTTTTTTTCCATCTACACATACCCACCAATATTCATCTCCTTTTAAACAATCTGATTGTTAAAAAACACTCAAGTAGATGTGTAGAGAGTGGTTCTATGATCTAGTTAATCGCTCCCCTTCTGCCCTCCAGGTTCTTAACCAAATCTTTTTGTACTAGTTTTTAAATATTTCTGATTCTAGTAAAAATATCCTCAGCTGTGCCTGCTGAAGAGCGGCAAGTAAGGCTGGGGTAGACACCCGTTCCGGTTGGAGGCTATGCCTGGTGTAGGGGTACCTGGCACAAAGAATCCAGGCCCAGCTCAGGCCTCTGTAGAAGGGACTCCTGCAGCTGCTTTTTACTTAGATTATTTCACAGCAGCAAACCTTTCTAAGTAGCCACTTGCTGTCTGCAGATTCCTCTCCCTGTCATATCAGCATCTTCACAAGTTACCCTGCCAGCTTTTCAAGCTGAGGTTGCTAGGGGCAGACACTGGTGTCTGCGGGGGTGGTGTGTGTGCAGTCCACGTGGCCCTGGAGTCTGCTGCCTTGTCCTTTTGAACAATGGGCTTCACCCCATAGCTAATCAGGCCTTGCTTAGGGATGTCCCCAATTATGCCAGTCCCGGCTAATCAGCCTTTTGACTGCTTCATTGGGGCCCCAGCCAGGCGGGATTGTGCCCGAGCAGTTAGATGTCAGAGCTCATCATTTTGAATTCAGTGGTTCTTAATCAGATTTGCACAGCACAATTGCCTAGTTTCCAAAATGTGTACATACAGCTCTCAGTCTGGGAGGTTGTAACACGTATAATTCAAAGGTTCAAAGCATTTATATTTTGGGGGAAGAGGCTGGGGTGCTTTGTATGATTCTGTGAGAAATAATTGAGAAATTCTGGCCCAGATTGACTCCTAAGTATAGTAAAGGACAAGTGCTGGGTATCTGCCTACTAAATTGGTAACTACAGCAATTGAACATATTGCACATCAGCCTTGGTTTTTTTGGCTTAACCTAGAGGGAAATTCTGGGTCAGCAAAGTGTAGCTCTGCTAGCAGGCCTGATGCCACCAGGTAATGCTGGGTGCTGGCTGTTGACATAGCCAACTGCTGGTTAGTCAGTGCCGCTACCAGCTGTCAGCATCCAATGCTGGCTTGTGCTGGGCACCAAGGGTGGACTCTGCCAGGTGATGGTCTCTGCTGGTCTTTAGCTCCTGGTCTCAGGAGATCTTCAGGGCTAACAGCTCTGCATGTTTATTATTCTTTGTCTTGAAATGGCCAGTTCTGTCCACACTACTCAAGATTAAAAAATCTATAGTAGATTTATAAGACTTTGGGAGCTCTTACTGAAAAATGAATCACGAGCAGGTTTACAGGAACACCACAGTGAGTCTTCAGCCTGTGCTGCAGCACGGAGAGGTCAGTATCCAGGAGGGAGCCCTCTTAAACTAAACCCAAGAAGGGGCTGGGCTGGGGGAGTGTTGCTTATGTAACAGCTGCAGGCTTGTGTAGTGAGGGGTAGGGCTGAGCCAGAGAATCTTCTGGAAGGCTTTCTGTGAATGTTAGGTATGCAAATAAGGGGCCCAGAGCCATTTCTTTATGATCTTAGCCATGCCAGGGTGCTCTTTCCCTTCTTCAAAGAGGCAGCAGCTGAACTGACTGGCTGCACTCATGTTGGGGTGGAGGGTGGCAAATCGTCCCAGTTCACTGGGGAGCAAAGGGAGACACGGGGGAGAAGCAGGATCACTGCTGGCCAAGCCACGTCCTGTCTGCCAGCATGGAAAAATGGGAGAGTCAGGCGCTCTCCTGTCTGTCTCCAAAGAAGCAGAGAATAGAATGCTGGTTGCCAGGAAGTGTGGGGAGTGAGATACAGAGGTCAGTTTTCAATGGGTTACAAAGTTTTGGTTGTGCAAGTTGAAGAAGTTCTAGAGGATAGCTGGGCAACACATGCCTATAATTAACTATACAGTATTGCACACTTGAAAATATATTAAGAGGTGGGTTCTCAAATCAGTTCTTATAGTACACACAAAAAATTCCTCCAAAACACAGAGCACAAGGACATTTCTGGAGGTGATGTGTATGTTTAGTACCTTGTTTGTGA